CGGCGTTACCCCCCCCCCCCCCCCCCCCCCCCCCAACAAGCCAGTATCTGTCCTTTCAAGCTTCCCTTAAAGAAAATGCTCTGATGCAGATGGTGATGGATATAGTTATAGAACCCTTCCTCAACCAAGATGGACACCAAAATCTTGAGAGAGTTCTTAAACACAGGCTCTCCCAAGATGGCACTGGGAGCCCATGGCAGAGGACACATTGGTCCTATGCTGGCCTCCCCCTAGCACAAGAGTGGTCATGTGACCACTTAGTGTACTACCAAGAGACCAATGAAGAAGTAACTGATCTAGTCTGACGGAGCGGCAGCGGTGCTCCCAGGACCAGTAGCCGCCACCACCTGCCCGCCCATAGACGGCAACAAACCCTTTCCAACTAAAGTTTTGGCTATCCATACACTTTGCCTATCCTTGGTTAAGTGCCTTGTAGGTAAACTGTGGCTGCCCTCCTGCTACGGTGAAACCACAAATCCCATCATGCATCTGCCCCTGGGGAGTCATGTCTGTTGCTGTCAGTCTTGTAATGCCTATTAGGATTTGTAGTTGCACCCTAGCTGGGGGGCCTGCCTACCTACCCCTGAACTTTTATACCACCCAATAAAGCCAGTAAGAAGTATTGCTGAATGAAAAACACTTGCGAGTATAACCAACCAGCCATTTTCTGTGTATTCGTCATGGTTCTTGCACCTCGGGGGCGTGTCCTTTGTCCTTTTTTTGTTATTAAGGTTGTCCTTCCTTCTCATTTCAAAAACTTCGGCGGTATGTCTCTGTTTTCCTCCCACTTCTCCTCCCGCTTTTGCTAAATGTTGTCTCTCTGGTTGGCTTTGCTTTCTTTCCAAGATCTGCCGTGATGCTGCTTGTTTCCCAGCACCCCCCCCGCCACCCGTCCTCCCGGCAAACTTCCATAGCGCGATCGTAAACACCAAATGCCGCCGCTACGAATAATAACTCGACAATCCCAGAGATTTTTTTTACTTTTTTTATTTTGATATATAAATATATTTTTTTTCCGGCAGCCATATGGCCTTTCGCACACTCCGATTTTTTTTTTTAATGTTTTTAATAAATTGCATTTCCCATTTTTTTAGCATTTCTGGAATTCCTCGTTCTTCCCATCAATCCCTTCCTGTCCCTGACGGCAACATTTTTTTTTATAGCCGGTTTTCCACACGGCGGGGTGGAATGTGATAGCGGATTACTGAGAGGAGATTCTTTCTTTTTTGTTTATGGCGGCCGTTCAATATTCGGAGACACCGAGAGCCTCCGATGATGGATGCAGTTGAGATGAGGTAATGAACTCGCCGAGTGCGATGGTGAGACAGGCAGTTTAGGGTTTCCCGACCAGTCTGCTTGGGTTTCCAGAGCCAGGAAGGAATTAATAATCATCCCCCCCCTTTTTTAAATTGAGCCTTTTTATTACAGATGCCTCTCTCTTCACAGGGTCATTGTCAGTCAATGAGCTGGACCCGTGGAACGGCGGCCATTTTTAAGTGCTAATCTGTGGACAGGCCCGCAGACCTCCATTCATCAAGCCGGCCTCACAAGCTGGCAGCTCTGGAAATATGGGACATCTATCCTCTCTCCGGTTCTTACGCGCTGCGTATGGCTAATCTTATTTCTGGGCCCGCATAATGCATGTCGATAATGCAACGCGTTTCTTTTCTTTCACAGGAAAAACATAATCCATTTTGCACGGGCCCGGCTGCCGCGAGTCGGGGGGGGAGGGGGGGTTTTACTGGCGCAGGAGAGGGAAATAAATGGATTTTGGTCTATTGCTTATGAATATGTAAGCCGATGGATTTTCGGAGGAGAGCCAAAGGACAACATGGCTGCTTATTTTAAATTGGCTTAAAAGATCCTTTTTTCTTTTAATCGTACCCAATCCTCGTCCAAATCCTCGTCCAATCCGCTTTTTTGTTGACGAATTACTAATGCGGAAATGGGCCAAGGCTTTTGAAGGTGATGATTGAGGAACGGGGGTAGGCCACTTTGTCAGGGATGTTGCTTCCATTGCCAAAAGGGCTTACACGGTGATATCACCGGTCTTAGTGAATTGATGGGCCACGTTCTTACAGATCCATTGCCCTATGTGGGCAAGGAAATGGTGAATGTCTGTGGAAAGGCCCCCCTGACATTCGCCTTGCCGGTGCTCCCCTGCCTTGATTCCAACCAGCACCTTGGTGTGGGGGAACTTGAGTGTCCCACAAAGACCCTTGACCTCAACCCTACTTAGCTCTGATTGTGAGCCAGGTCTTCTCATCCAGCGTGAGAACCGGACTTCAACCCTACTGAACACCTTTGGGATGAATTGGAACACTGGTTGAGCCAGGTCTTCTCTTCTACATCAGTACCTGACCTCACAAATGAGGAATTCCACTGCACCCCTGACCAAGAAAGCCCCAACTTCCAGTGGGGGGGTGCTGAAATGACAGCGGATGGTGCCGCTGAATCAGATACTTGGTGATGTAACTCTACACATGGAGTAAAAAGGACTTTGCTTGGAGAAACTTTTGGCGTCCTGATGACTTACTGTTCTGTTTATCTGACCTTGCAAATGGGCACACAAATCCCACATTCACCCTCCAAAATCTTGGGGAAAGCCTTACCAGAGAAGTGGAGGCTGTTTCAGATGGGAGCCAAAGCCATTTTCACGGTCCTAGACTAGAGAGGCGTGTCCACGGGTGAGAGGCGTGTCCATGGTTCTAGACGGGAGAGCCTGGGCCATGGGGAGAGGCTTGTCCATGGTTCTAGACGGGAGAGCCTGGGCCATGGGGAGAGGCTTGTCCATGGTTCTAGACGGGAGAGCCTGGGCCATGGGGAGAGCCTGGGCCATGGTTCTAGACGGGAGAGCCTGGGCCATGGTTCTAGACGGGAGAGCCTTGGCCATGGGAGAGGCTTAAGGTGTGCTGGTCAAGTGTCCACAAGCCTTTTGGGGATCGTGTGTGTGTGTGTGTGTGTGTGGAGAGTGTGTGTGTGTGTGTGTGTGTGTGTGTGGAGATTCTACAAAACTAATACACATTCCCTTAAGACTTCAGTTTTGGGTAGCCATGGACAGGCAGGCGCTTCCCCATTACACTAGGACACACTAGCCTGGTGTTGGTACCAGGCCACTTCCATTGCAGTGGTGCTCCTGCAGTGAAGTCCTTCATTCAATCCCATCTTGCAAAGCATTTATTCCAAGCCGGAGAAACGTCTGTAGACCATAATGTGCGTCTTTGGTCGGAATTGTTTGTGATTTCATGGAACAGCCTTATATCGCCCCTCGCATATCCGGGCACTTTGAAAGGGGGGAGGACAATTTGGGTCGTCAAACCCAATTACACGTCTGCGTAGCCACATCAGTAAAAGATTATTCTTGATGAGATGACTGCGCTTTGTAGCTCGCACTTTGTTTTGCTTAATGCCGATATCTCCTTCATAGCCCTCGGCTTCAATTAATAAATTCGTTCATTAGCTAATTGACTCCAATCTCTTTTTTTTTTCTTCACAGACGGAGTGTAATGAAAGGCGTTTGCTCTGAGGGATCTCGATGTTCGGGGGGTCAAGACTCCATGCTTTCAAGTTTCTGAATCAATGTTCCTCTTTGGGATGTACAAAGGACCGTAGGCTTACTCGGATCAATCAACGCTCATCCGTATTTTGCTCCTAACTGGGTGAGTAGCACGATGTGTTCATATAGTCCGTCCTCCATCTTCTGTGAAATTGGTTGGTGTGTCTCTTCTTTCCCATGGTTGTGCCAGCCTGGTTACGGCAACCGTAGTGCTTACGGACGTACAGTACATGGTGTACCTTTTGGTGGGTGTACTGGAGCTTTCTACCAACTGCACATTTGTCCCTGGTAGGGATAAGCGAAATTGGGAGTTTTCATTTGCTGGAATATCCTGAGAGAATTCTGGTATCAAATTTTGGTAAAATTTCACTGTGTTGGCAAAATGAGTTTGAGTCCTCGTGGAAGGGGAAATTACGGTAGCTCTTGGTGGTTTTTACGGGTGCAATGGGCCTTCGCCTAAGTACCTCCAATGAGTGAAATTTGAGTTTCACAATTTTGCGGCAAAATTAGCTCAGATCAACCCGCTGTCCCCTCCCTTGGTGGTGGTGATGGCCAGGATAAAAGAATATTGCCAGTGACAAGTGTATATGTGCTTTGCCTATACAGGGTGAAGTAATAGTTTGGTTCACCTGCTGCTAGCTGCACATACTCGCCTTGGCTCTATTTGGCTGCTGGAGGCAACAACATATACTGGTACTTCCAAGTTTGGGAAGGCGGTGACCAACTCCCTCTGAGCCTGGTGATTAGCTTCTCAGACACCCAATGCTGTTATGTGGGGGGGAGGAGAGAGTCCTCAGCCTTGGTAAAGCAGTGACCAACAAGCCTTCCTCCCATGTGACAGTACTGGTGCTTTGGTGATTGGCTGCTTAGGCACCCGGTGCTGTCACATGGAGGCAAGGAGATAGTCCTCAGCTCTGGGGAAGCAGAGACTTAAGTTCCCCTTCCTCCCATGTGGCTGTGCTTTGTAATTGGCTGCTCGGGCTCCCAGTGCTGTCACTTGGAGGTGAGGAGAGGGCCCTCAGCCTTGGTAAAGCAGTGACCAACAACCCTTCCTCCAATGTGACGGTGCTTGGTGATTGGCTTCCCTTAGCTACCAGCGCTGTCCTATGGTGGTGATTGGCTGCTCAGGCTACCAGTGCTGTCATATGGGTCAGGTGATTGGCTTCCCTTAGCTACCGGCGCTGTCCTATGGTGGTGATTGGCTGCTCGGCTACCAGTGCTGTCATATGGTGGTGGTTGGCTACTCAGGCTACCAGTGCTCTCATATGGGTGGTGATTGGCTGCTCAGGCTACCAGTGCCGTCATATGCTGGTGATTGGCTGCTCGGGCTACCAGTGCTGTCCTATGGGTGGCAATTGGCTGCTCAGGCTACCAGTGCCGTCATATGTGTGGTGATTGGCTGCTCAGGCTACCAGTGCCGTCATATGTGTGGTGATTGGCTGCTCAGGCTACCAGTGCCGTCCTATGGTGGTAATTGGCTGCTCAGGCTACCAGTGCCGTCCTATGGTGGTGATTGGCTGCTCAGGCTACCAGTGCCGTCATATGGGTGGTGATTGGCTGCTCAGGCTACCAGTGCTGTCACATAGTGGCGAAGGAAGAGTCCTCAGTGCTGGGGAAGCAGAGATTTCCCTTCCATGTGACCATGGTGGCGCTTTGTTATTGGCTACGTGGGCTCACATGGGTCAAGAGTCCTCCGCCCTGTGCAAACTCCAAGTCCCGCTCTTACCCAGAACTTCCTCCCTCCTCTCTGTGCTCCTGGTGCATGAGCCGGGTAGATGAGTATGTGCGGCATGAGAGGAACTCGCGTCAAGCGGTTAAACAAAGAACGATGGCGGCCTTTTATCATGTTTATAGTTCTTTATCCGGCCGAGGGAAAGCCCTGCGTGCCGTCTATCCCCCGACAGGATTATGGGAGCAGATCCCTATTGACAAGC